TAGATAGATAGATAGATAGATAGATAGATAGATAGATAGATAGATAGGTGTGGTCTGTGCGTGTGTGTGTTTGTGTGTGTGTGTGTATGTGTGCGTGGGAAGCATGCATGCTTCAGTGCATGTACATATGAGATCCTGTCTTGTATTTACTTGACCCAGCATGGCTGTACTCCTCCGGGTGCTTGTGTCCCAGCTCTCCAACAGAGTTAGAGCAGAGTTAATACCAAAGAGCTCCGCTAACACATCTCAAGTCCAGGCAGTAAATCCTCCCTCACAGCATTAGCTCCAGACAGAGCTGTTTAGCACAAGCTTACAGTCATCAGGCGGGGCAGTGATTGAGGGGAGGTAAAGAGGTAAAGTACTATTACAGGATTGTACGAGAACAGACCAATAATTAAGGAGCGGGAGCAATGATTTAAGGTAGTGTGGAGATGGACTGATGTAAGGGATGAGGGCGGGGAAATTATTCATCGACATGAGATACAGAAAGCTGATTTCAGAAGCGCAAAGAGAAGGAGTGGAAGGGGAAGAGTGCAGAAAAGACCTTGGAGAAAAACTGATAACAGCAACAAGGCAAATGGACAGAAGTAGGTCAAGGCTAATTAGGGAGAAAGATAACAGAGAAAGAATAGAGTTCTGAGAATGGAGCCTCAGCTTAAGTCATACCTTTAGTCATCTTGTATTTACCTTTACAGCAGCATAGGTTTGTTTAGCAAGGCCACTCACACATTTCTACACTTTCACTCAGCATAAACTCAAAATTCTGCACAGATGTTATCAGGGAGACGTCTGACAGTCCTCTAAGGCTTTTGACAACTCTGTTCTTTCTCTCTTCTTTCCCTTGTTGTTTGTCCTCTCCTTGAATTCTCACTGCAAACATCATGTTCTGACATTTCAATCAGAGCTGTATTTACATATGGCTCATCCATTTTTATCCTCACAACATCACTTTGAAATCAACATGAATTTGTGCAACTGATTTTTTTATTTAAGCTTTCATCTTTTATGGCTTCACATTACATCTCCCTGCCCTGTGATACACCTCTTCTCTGACTAATATCTGGGTTTTTGTATCCGCATTCTCCCCGTGTGCTCCTCCTGTGCATCCCCCTCAGTTTTGGGGATGCCTCGCTCTCGTCTGCCTCCACCCTGGAGCACATCCCATCCTCGGCTGTGGCGCGCCCTCGACCCCTGGTCCGGCAGCAGAGTCTCCAACAGCCCCTCACTCACCAGCCCCCTCCGGGCCCCAACGACCCCCCAGTCACTTCACAAAGCCTGGGCCAGCTTCACACAGGTCCAGGCGGTGGGGGCCACCGTGGGGGCCCGCGGGGTGTCCGGGGGAGTCCGGCTGGAGCCTCTCGGCACAGAGGAGGGGGCGCCGGCCGATCGAGGTCAAATCCAGGCAGCTGGGACCACATGATGGAGCAGATCCGCAACAGAGGTCTGGACGTCAAGTCGTTCTTGTAAGTGTTGTGAAGTTTTCTATCCTTTAACACATTAAAATATGCATGATAAGAGCATGATCCATGCTATTTTACTATATAAATTTAAATTGCAAATGTTCAAATGTAAGAGACACTACATGTTTTCTAGTGTAAGAAACTCACATGTTTCTTACGGGAAAATGTACTGATGTATAATTTCAAGAGAGCTACCTGCAAAATGTGCTGAAGGTATAAAAAAAACTGCGCTACATAAGTGTGTATAGACATGATCCCTTTGTCACAGTTGGCAGCAGGTTGGTTGTAACCAGGAGAACATTCATCTCCTGGCATGTGGGGATGTTTTGATGGCTAGGGTGTTTTGAGAAGAAGCATTCAACGTATATTGAACAGGATTCCACAAGTAAAGGGTTGAAGTCATTTTATTCAAGACTGGAGGTGCTGCTACTGAAAGGAAAACCACAGAATAGGAAAGTTTGCACAGGGCTCATATTTCTGCATTCAACATGACATTCTGTTGGATTCCTCTGAAAAAATGATAGTAAATAAAATACACTGCGGCTGTGTGTTAAAGCGTTTATGTGACTGCTGCCGTTCTGGCTTGTGCTTGTTGAAAGTGATATGCCTATGATATAAAGGATGACTGACATTCTAACTACCCCAGATGCTACAGAAAAGTCCCAAAGGAATGAGGTAATTAGCACTAGGACCAACAAGTTCAGTGGCCCTCAGATAAATGGAAAACAACTCATGTCTAATAGGGGCTCGATATGCCAAAAACCATGCTAGTCAGATTAACATGTCATAATGGTTTACATCATGTCTACACAAAGCAAAAAATCTCATGCTCACATTTTAAAATTTAAGTTTGTTACTTTGTTACATAGCTGCAGATTGTAGAAACTATCCTTAACGTGTTCTTGACATGTATGGAATAGTCACTCTATAGTTGGCAGGAATGGTCACAGGTTTTTCCAGTCCACCGATGTACAAAGGCCTCTGATTGATTAAGTGACCCAGCGCAAAGAGCTCTCCTCCTCTGCCTGACTTGAATAAGAAATTATAGATGATGTACTCAACATAGCCGAATTCACACCTTCCTCTTAAACACATCCATGCCCCTGTCTCTTAACTTTTGTACTGTCTTAACCCTTTAAAATTGTCTGCAGGCCAGGCGCCTCCCTGCCTGTGTGAATCATCATTCAAATAAGGCCGGCCACATAAAAAGGGATGTGGCATTGCCCATAGTCCCTGTCCTTATAAATCTCTCTGGACCAGCCACATCAGTGTCTGACCCTCAGGGGGTTTGGGAATGTCATGCAGTTGTAATCAGTGGGTTATGAACAGCTAAATGTAGCAGCTTCACTTTCCCTTGCATTCCCCTGCCACCGCACCTTCATTTCAGATCAATAGACCCGCTGCAGGTGGTAATGATTTCAGCGTCCTTTAGCTCGAGTGCTCGCGTCTTTTTCCGTCATCTATACAAATCCATTCAGCTCATCGATGAGCGTCGTGTTGTTGCTGTTTATATATCCCCGGTGGGCCTCTGTCTCTCAAGCGCTAATGTGTTCCCCTTGTTGTCAATATTGCCTGTGTCTTGTTAAGGGACGAAATGCACAACAGAAAAGCATATGCAGGATGGAAAAATAAAAGTGAGGTGTTCACAGAGATGAGAGGAAGAAGATCTAAGGGAAAACAAGGAGGAAATATCAGAAGGATATGACACAAGATTTACTTTGTGCAATCTTTTGATCCTTTAGATATTTAATCATGCTTCTTTCAGGCAGTTCCATGTGTGTTCATTGCATCCATAGTGTTTGGTTCATCACTGGAGGATTTGAATATAAACTATTTGAAGTAAATATGTTCTGATATACTTTCTTATTAACTATTGTGTAACATCACAGTTTCTGAAGCACTGCAAACGCTAATTCAATTAAGATTTAAACTTTTAGGATGCAAATTTTGTCACTTTGGATCTAATTATGCTAATTAAAAAGATACTAATTCATAAACTAAAGGAGAAGTCAGAAGCAAGCTTTTACCACTTTTAGTGACAACCAAGCCAAGGCGCTTGTCTTTTTACGTGCTGGACGACGCGCGATGACTTACTAACACATAACAAGCCAGAATGGTGATCCTAACTTTTCATTAGTACCAAACTATATATGGCCATCTTTAGGCACATGTGGATCATCAATTATGTCATGTTAACATCCATGCAAGCTGTGTGACACAGCTAAGTAGCGTCCAGAATTTCAGCATGGTAACCTATTCTTAAGCAGGAGGTACATTTCTGAAAATTGGTTGTCTGTGTTGAAGCATTTCTTGATTATCATATTAATCTAATCTCAGCAACTGTGTTGAGTTAAGCTTAGATGATGAAAAAAAAAAGCAATCAACAGATAAACACCGGTGTGAGGTTACACTGACCAACATTTTTTTTTAAAGAGACCAAGCACCTCTCTGTTGGTGCCAATCCACTCAAACACATCTTTGTTTTGTTTGGGAATCTTTTGATTTGCAAATTGGACGCTAATTTAATTTCCACACACTATTTCCATGGAGGAGCCAACTTTAGCATTCAAGGATTCATAGATGCTAAGAAAGGCTGTGGATATGTGTTGTGTAGAGGTGATGAAGGGATCATTTAAAGGTGTAGAAAGTTCCAAATTTGTCATTTACATTAATGAAAATTATTGTTTAAACAGTGCCTGGATAAGGTTCAGTTTTAGATTATATTCAAATGTGGTGGAGCAGGAGAGAAAATCATAGAGGGAAGGGACAACAGAATATGTGCCTTAATGTGGGTTGTTGTTTGTGACTGTGACTTACAAAATTAGTTGTGGGAAAATGTGGATTTGTCAAGGCCTCTGTTTGGACGTCCCCTTGAATTCACAGCACACACTAGTAAAAGGTAATTGGATGATTGCAGGCATGTTTACAGAGACAATAACAGGTACCTTCATACAGTTCTTTGGTGCTGTTTTTCAAAAAGAACACCTCAGCTGTCAATGATTTCTTTTGCTTTTTATTGTTTTATATTGTTTAGTTTCTTTAATTCTCTTAAACCATGCATTCTTTCTTTTGGGGTTTTGCTTTTTTGTTTGAATTATTTTTGCAGACACACAACTGATGGTGATAAAACCACTGGTTCATAACATGTCTACCAAGAATGGTTAATTCAAACAATTATCATGCAGAAATTGGGGACAGGAAAAGAAACGAAAACTGAACATGTAACAGTAGATTTAGACATTTGCTCTGGTTTCTGAGCATTTATGAAACAGAATGCACTTCAATGATGAATCACAATGTAAGGAAAACTGAAAGATGTTTTTATGAGTTTTCATATCAATGGTTGGTCCATATAATTATTATCAACCTCTGTCATCCCAACACAAACTGCTACAAACTTCTAAATAACAGACACATCTCTCAGCGCTTCAGTTCACACGGCATAATGTCAGTGCTGGAGCACTAAAGGATAAGTGTGTGGGGTAAATAGTTTGGTACCAGACCAATTTTATTTGGAAGAAACACTTCCTCCAAACGGAATACACCACAATAAGTAATCATTGGCCCTTCTCTCCGCACGAACCTGCGAGCAAAACTGAAATGTAATGGCTGCGGAGTGCTTCTGGTGACTTTTTTTTCTAAAATCCCATTCAGTCTCTATTTTAAACTCAAAAAAGGCGAGCACCCAACAAGTTAGATTTGTGCAACGCTGACTTGTATAAAAGGCATTGTTGGTAATGGAGATAGTGTCTATATTTACTAAATTTACCCGTGAAAAAATGATCACATCCAACTCTGTTGTTTTTTTTGTGTTTTTTTTTACATATACTGTTAAGATATCCACCTCTGAAGAATAATATATATACATTTTGTGAATAGTGTTACATCTCTCTTCACTCAAACCTACAAGAAATCCTGTAGGTTTGAGGGAGATGTATTGTACAGTGAAGTTTTTTAAGATGCATTTGTGAAGATGAAACATTGTGGTGTCCTCACAACAGTCTACCGCCTCTCTCCCACTTTCTCTTTGTACATGATATGGATGTGTGCTTGGTGTGCGGTGCTGTGGTTCTGTCACTTCTTGTATGTGTGTGTGTTTTTGTGGGAATATGTTTGTCCCTGCGTGCATCTGTCCACACACTGTCCCTGTGTGGTCTTGTGTTTGTCTGTGTGTCCAGTGAAGGGAAGATGGTTGTTCTGTCTCTAGCAATCGGGCTGGCTGAACAGGATGACTTTGCCAATCTCCCAGATCTTCAGGAAGCACCGGCAAGCAAAGAAAATGAAACCACACCAGACAAAAGGTAATGAGAGAAAAACGAGTGAGCAATGTGAGGAAAATGGCCTGTAATGCTTTAAAAATATGGAGTTGCGGAGGCTACATTGCGTCATCCCCCAAACACCTACCCCTCCTCACTCAGCGTGCCAACCCCTGATGCGGTAAAACTGAAACCTCTCGGTGTGTCTTTGGGTTCGGTGAGTTGCAGCCTGTTGTTCTCAGAGGCTTGTTCAATGCATCTCATGAGATTTGGATCAGATTTGGATCTTGGGAATTGGTTGTGTTCTTAAAGCTGATGAAAGTTGCACTATTGTGCGAGGGGAGGCTGGTGATGTTAGGATGTGTCAGAGCCATGGTGGGTGTGCGTGGTCTGAAACCCTAACCCTATCCATTACTATGTAGCTCAAGTTTTCCCAGAGGAGCATTTAATCAAAGAGTTTTCATCCATGATATTAATTTCTCGCCAATTGTTTTAATTTTCTGGATGGTTTTGTAGGGAGAGGAGTAATATGGTGTAGCTTCATGTTACTCATAAAAAGAAGTTCATCTTTGCAAAATTGCTCATAATGATAACATAGCTCTGAAAACAGTTAAGCACGTTAAACCTGAAACTGTATCTGATTAGTTCTCAAAAGTTTTTGTACTTTGGATGTGTTTTACGATCATCGAAAAGCAAGTTTTCTGTTGGTGAAACAGATGGTGGGCTCTACTCTACATACAGCCAGCCCAAGTAGAATAGAAAAAAGACAGAAGGTCTATATCTATATACAGTAGAGGCAACTTGAAAATAAGGACAAGTGAAGAAAACTGGGCTTGCTTGAAAGGTTGCAAAATTCATTTGAGTTTGAGATTAAGATTTGTGTGCAGTTAACTGATATACTAAAAAACGCTTTACCATCGTTTATGCATTCAAGTGAAATCCCTCCTCCAGTCACTCTTCTCATTCACAAACAGTACAACAAATCTGATGTTTGTATCCTTTAGATGTGCAATATGATCTTGTTTAGGAGTAGTTAGATTTCTCCACCTTTAATTATTATGTTGTTGTAGGACTACTAGCGCTAAACGATAAAAATCACATTTCCCATTCCTCTCTCATGCTCACCTTGAAGTTTTCTCTATGTTTTATTTTTCACACCACCACGTTCCCTCTTCAGTTTCGCATTTTGGAAATTCGTTTCCTCTGCAGCCTTCACCCAGACCTTTGAAAGTCTGCTTGTCTGCAGCTCTTCACTGCATTTTTGATCTTTCAGTCGCAGGCATAGGAGAAGAGCACCCTCATTATTTAGAGGCAAGATTCCTCACATGAAACACACATCTAAAAATATGCTAACCATTCTGATCTACCAGGGATCTCACAGCAGCCGCCAGAGACCAGCACAGTCTCTCAGCTGGCGAACAAAGAACTGAACAGGCTGCCCTCTTATCACATCAGTGTTTGAGGGATAAAGCGCTTAGCCCACTGCTTTGACTCTGCTGGGCCGAGGATCAGCCTGGGTGTAGTTAAACACAGGTAGCTGCGCAAACATCACCGCATTCTTTTCCCCATTGTTTTCCTTCTGTTGTTTTTTTTTTATTTTTCAGATTTGTATTTCTATTAAATTTCTTAAATGCACAAAGTTTTCTTAAATTAGAAAAAAAAAAAAAAAGATCCGCACTGCACACAAGTGAGCTCTTCTAAGTAGGTCATCTGTGAATTTGTGGTGGATGAAAAATAGGAGCCGGCCTTCATAAGGGAAATGACAGATGACTCTTTCTTCTGGTGTTATTGCAATAATAATGACCCTTTTTATGCTTTGGAAAATTAAATTAAACATCCCAGGGTCAGTCCCACGATGAGAACCACTTCTTTCCCCCAAATCATGCTCTCCCCCTGCTCTCCCCCACTCTCTGGTGGTCTGTTAACTCTAATCAAAGCCAGCCAGCTCGCCTTTACCCAGAGGGCTCACGTGGGCCAAGTTGTCTAGTGTCCTTCCACATTTAATAACAGCTCTCGATCATCATCTCTGTCAGTCTCTTGCATCCCTTTGCCTCTGTAGTTACCTCATGAGCCCCCCGCGTCTGTCTGCTGCCTCGCTCCCGGCCATTTTCATGGAGCCCAGCAGACCAGCGCAATGCAACAGGATGATCTCGCTGAGACCATATGTGACAGAACAAGAAGCTGTCAGACAGTGAAAGAGAGACAGAAGGAAAGAAAACATTGCACTCCGCTTTATAGAAAAATGAGCTGCAGGACAGAAATTCACAAAACATTTTGTTTGTTTGCAACAAAATATAACAAATCTGATGAGAGCAGAATACCAGGATAGTTTGTGCTGCGTATCCACAGTTGTAGAAAAACCAGGAGGGGATGGAGAAGTGGCATTATGGTGGAAGAGGTAAAAGCACACAATCTCACAACCCCTGTTAAAACTATCGTGATCATTAATTAAGTTACTAACTGTCCATCAATTCTAAAAAAACATGTGAATGTTTACTCATTAGATATTCCAGCATGTTCCCAATCTTGTGGCTTGCTCTGCCAGTTTGCGCTTTTGGCTGCAGGAAATGAGGTTAAAGAAAGCAGTGAGACTGACACCAAACACTGAACGTGTGGGCTGTAAAGTCTCAAGAGTGTAATAAAAAGTTCAATTCTCCATAGAGGCAAGGTGAAATTTAGAGTTTGTGATAAGTTTTGTCGGTTCATTGGTAAGAGACATCTTTTTCACAGTAGGCGAAATCATTAAGGATTCAGTCATTAATCTACTCCTCATCTTTGAAGTAAATTATATGCGTGGTTCATGTGAATTCAATATATTTTCCTTGTTAAAATGAAAAAGAATTGACATAAAAAAAAAAGCTTGTGCATCGCAGTAGGATATTACCGGTGCCATAATGAGAACTCTCATTTTCAGATCATTTCTGATGTTGCTGTGACTCATTTACAACCTAATTTCCAGTGTAGAATAGAATCAAGAAACAAAGACAATTATTTCTAAGAAATTTGAAACAGTAAAATGTATAAACAGAGAGCATTCGCTGAGACTAGGAAAAATTATTGTTTCTTTAAATGTAGATGCTCAATTTTAAATCAATTTCAATAGGTTAAAACAACATTTTAAACAAAAACTCATCTTATTATTACAAACCATTTTTTCATTAGGTGACAATTATGGACTGCATATAAACCTTGTTTTTTTTTACTTACTTGCTGGATCAAGAAAAGCCTTCCATGAAAAAGATCATCATATCACTTAAAACACAAATGGAACTATTATAAGAGTAAACTGTTATGTCAAAATACCTTGCTGAACCCTTGCTGACCTGTAATATGCAGAAAATAAGTTCTCTAATCCTTTATGGTTCACTTCATGTTATACAAGTCACTTTGAGTAACCGTGGAAGACCAGCCTAAAACGCTGGACTTGACATAATCACCTACCTGCAGACAACAATGATGAAGCCTCTGAGGCTGTTTGTGTTATTACCATCTCAGAAAGCGACTGTTGCATGGCAGAGCTGCATGTTAATGAGCTCAGAGATTCACCACACAGAGCGATAAATAAACCCAAAAGAGTACGCTGGCCACAGACAACCTCCTCTCTGAATGTGGAGTTTGTAAAAGCTATAAAACGCGTGATGCATTCCAACATGGATCACATCTGCCTGCTTCCATTCAGTGCAAGCCAACGATGTGAAATGTCCACTTCAGTTTTCAGTGTGCAGAGTCAAAAGCCAAAAAAAAAAAATGTCTGCAGCTTATTCTGTTTGGTGCACACCGTGGGGAATAGCTCACAGTAACTGGAGGATTTTGAATGATTGCAGTTCTATCTGAACATAAAACTGTTTGGCCAAAAGTGAAAAATTGGAATACAAATTATTTTTTTGACAAATTGAAAAAATCCCATGTAAATCTTTATCTTTAGGGATCTCTTTGGCACACCCATGTCTGATTTTCCCTTCCATCTTTAATCATGAATGGAAGTTGCATTTCTATGCAAAACAGGGGTTGCAGAACAAGTCAAGGGGATGGAAACGACAGAAACAAACTTTGGGGACTTAGAGGGAACAATGTGGAGGACTTAGTCTTTTTGTTGTTGGTTAGGATTGCCCTTCAGTTAACTTTTGTTTTTTTTGCAGTCAAAAGTTATGCCAGGTCACACTCTGTATGTCAGTATTTTATTACATACTTAATCCTAATCTGAATGCAGGCCTTTAACCCTGTTTCTAGCTGACTCACCTGGATCCTCTTATCTAATCCCCCCTCCCAAAATAAGCCCTGCGGTTATCTCTGTCCCCATGTTGATCCTCTGTTGGTGATCAGAAACGTCTGTCATGGCTTTTATTGTCATAGATTAGCTTTAGTTGTTGCTGGACTTTCTTGTTTTGTAAAATTATTAAAGACTTCGGATTTTCTTATCTGTCCGGTCCTTTTTTCAGCCTGCACAGTGATACTGAGTACCAGCAGGTCAACACCATGGGCCAGATCCATGTGTGATATATTCACACAATAAGATAGTGTGGTCACCTCACACCTTCCTCAGATCGTGCACGAATGTGTGGTGGACCAATTTCAGTTTTAGATGTTGAGATAGAAATGAAAAAAACAAGAGTTGACATGATTTGATATGAAATAATAAAAGCTGTGCTCGCATTGTTGGACAACAATGCTAATTCAATTTAAAAAAGGAAAGCGTTTTGGGAACACTCAGGTTATCTTGCACTAGATTGCAGTTGACTGATCCACTGCTTTAGGTTTCATTAGGCTGCTTTACTCCGGAGTCCTGATGCTGTCCTTGTCCTGCGAGCTGATGCTCCTGATCTTATTTTTTTTATTGTCATAATTTCTTTTTAAACCTTCTGTTCTGTTCAGAACTGATAACGATTTAGTAGTTATCTGTTTGTGATTTTAACACTCTACCCACAAAATAGAGCAAGCTGATTTCTTTGTTTTGGCTGTCTCAGTTTCACATGTTACAAAATGATACATTTTCTCCTCTGTTGTCTTAATTACACATGAGAAAATTAAGTTGGATACTAATTATATTAA